GCAATACTCCGGTATTTTTCCTCAGATTTTGTTGTCAATTTAAATTAAATACTTCGTGGCTTCGTTGTTTATCTCAGGTTGTATCAATTTAAAAACTTTTTTTTAATCATATGTGTGTTCTTTCAAACAGTGTGATATTGTCCTGGTAAAGTTTCACTGACGTGGTGCTAAATAATTTTGAGGTCACACAAGACAATAGCGTTTCAGGAAAAGATATGCTAAGACTAGAATATAAAATGTATATGTATATATATATATATTTTTTTTTATTGGGGGGGGGGGGTTGTTCATGAGAAAGTGTGTTTGTAAGATGCTGGGAGCCACAAACTGGTATATGTAGTACAGATTGGCTATTCTATGGTTTGAAACAATAGAGTATCTATTACTGATGTGAAGGGGGGGGGAAAGTACATTCCCTACCTTTACCTTGCAGCCACTAGGTAGGTAGACATATAAAAAAAAGCATACCAATGCCATTACCTCAACTGACAACCAACAGGAACAAAACAGGTTTTTTTTAGGTCTGGGCCCAGGCTGTGCAAATGATATGCGGGCTCATTTTATTTTTTTTATTTTCAAGGTATGCAGTGACTGCCGATGCAGATATTGGCCAATCCTAGTGTCCTTAAGGGGGCCTTATGCACCCTCTCTGGTGGGGGGAGAGATTGCATCCCTTCCAGCTTACACTCCCTTACCCCTTTCCACTTTAGTTTCAGAACACAGAACACACTCACAGATGTAGGGTTTTGATGGCTATATGGGATCTGTGTGAAATTTGTGTGAAACCCGCTCTGTGTCATGCACGTTCAAGCTCACGCACATACAAACGCACGCACACACACAGTGTGTCTGGTACACACTGTGTACCTGTCTGGTACTCCAGACAGGTTGCAGTCTGTTACAGGACTGCACAGAGACAATCAACTACGCACAGAAAAACAAAAAAAACAAAACAAGAAATTGGTTAATTATGGTCAATAAAACACACACACCTATTTATGCCTCTTTACAGTTGCTGAACAAATCCAAGATGCTTGTTTATGTCCTGACTACTAGTATTGTGATGCCCATGTTTTTTATTTACTTGGCTTTTTGTCTTCCGTGTTCCAGTTTGCAGGTGCCCCTAAAAGTTATTTGTCCAGATTGCCCACAGAGACCAGATATAACAGCTGGTTGTATTCTTTTGTTGTCTTTTTTTCCCTCAGTTTCTCTCTACCTAAAAGATCTTTCTCCTTTTCAGGGTAGTTTATTTTCTTTGCTCTCCCTTTTGTCCCTGCCCCCCTTTCAGGTTTGGCCTTTCTAGATATTTGTAAGGTTTAGGGACACAAAACAATCAAGGAGGGCGTTTCCCACATTAAGCCTCCCTTGGCAAAGGAAATGTGTTCGGCATAGCACGGTACTGAGTTTTAACTTCTGCTGCCAGAATACTAAACAAGAAAAAATAAAATAAAATAGATTAATCAATTAAATGGGTGCATATAAACACAAATTTCATTAATAGCCTGGTCTTTGTATTTGCATCGCTCCACACAGAGAAAGTAGTAAAAGTTGATAAAACATAGTGTTTGTGGCTTTACAAACCAAACGACATCTCTGGAATTCATTCTGTCAAATGCATTAAAAGGTAGCATTTATTTTCTATTGAATTAAAGATCAATTATGGCATCACAAAACTGCACTTCACAATCTGAATCTAAAATTTGAAAATTCAGTTACACATAGTAAAGGTGAATATTATTTCTTTTTCAAAAACTACTGATTTGTGCATATCAAATTTAAATTTAATCATGAAACATTGATGTTATATAGGTATGTTAAAAGTTAGCATTTATAGCCTTATAGCTTTTCTATTGAATTAAAAGACCCTACAGACCCTACTCTGAAGTTAATTACAGAAACCCAACAATTCCCACCATGAGCAAGCACTAGGCGACACAGGCAAGGAAAAACTTCCTTTAAACAGTTCATACCAACCAAAACAGAATTATTCCAAACAGACAAAATAAAGTGCCCCAGCACAGTTTTCAAAACAGTAACTTCCAAATGTACACACAGGCGTGGGAACAGGGTGGTAACAATATGTTCCCCAGGTCCTGGACTCCTGGCTCGTGTTGCTCCTCCTGATTGGTGGAATGGCTTAATCATAGGTGGATGGCATAAGTTCATCAATGTAGGAACCTTGGGAGCTGTAGTCATGCTTTGTAGTCTGTTACAGGACTGCACAGAGACAATCAACTACGCACAGAAAAAAAACCAAACAAACCCAAGAAATTGGTTAATTTTGGCCAATAAACCTGCGATTTGTATTTATAACACTGTACAGTAGGTCAGTATCCCCAGTTCATCAAAAGCTATCCGTGTTTCCTCAACGGGGACCACCTGTTGCAGAAACAGATCCCAATCTGGCTTGCAAAGTGGTAGCTCTGTCTGGAAGTGATTCCAGAACCTGAGAGGCAGACAAGGGCACATGTTAGTATACTTGCAAGGCATTGGCAGAAACTTTGAGTCAAAGTTGTAAAACCCATACAGCTAACATTTCATGAACAGTTTTTATGAAACGTGTGGATGTTTACTTGTGGTGGTAGATGTCCGGGTCTCGGCTGATGCGGTTCTGAAAGCCAATGTACAGGTCATCCCAGAGGCGCCCATGCAGCACCACGTACCTCATCACCCCAACGCGGTTTTTGATCTTAAATCAGGAGACAAAAATAAATAAATATCAGTTTTTTGTTTGTGAAAAAGAAATTGTGTCCAAAATATCATTGTATGGTCTCCAACAGGGACTCTGTGAGTCCATGACATTCCGAGATACTTTTTCTGATGCCCTATAAATGTTGTAATTTACCAGCTGACAAGTGCTGTCACTTAGAAATGCAATACAGATATAGTAATTAAGAAAGTAATCTTGTAAAAGTGACTTAAGCAGCAACTCAAGAAAATGTATTTACAAAAACGACAAAAAGCAGAACCTGGATATGAAATAACTAAGCTGAGAAAAAAGAAAAAAAAACCTACAAACAGACTGTGAGAGAGATAAGGAAACAAGGCCGGACAGCAAACACATGGAGACTGGAACGAGGTATAATGATGTATAGACAGTATGATGGTAGGATCTGGCAAAGAGTGACATCAATGAGAAACTTTTATAAAGGAGAGTGTGATTAGTGATATTAAAGCAGGTGACTAAGAAAGCAGGTGAAAAGGAGTTGATTGATAATGGGGGAAAAGGAAAGACCTGATGGAAATGAAGTACTGAGGGACAGCAGGGGAAACAGGAAGACACAACAGACACAAAATAAAAGCACAGGAACACAAACCCTGACTAGCTAAACATAAAACATAAAACATAACACTTTGGGACAGCACCTTTTCTCAGTGCACTATTTATACTCCTGATCAGATTTTTCTCTCTGGTGAGATGACAAACGCTACTGGAGACAGTTATGAGATCACTGTGTTTTACAAAACTCAAATAAAAAGAAAATGTAAATACAAGTTTGTTTGTTTGTTCTGTATGATCAGACTTTGTCATCATTAATTTTAATCTCTGGTGAAGTTGATAAAAGCATCTATAGAACATTGAGACTATCACACATTTTGTCACAAGTGTGCGTTCGATCTGACAGACTTTGTTTAATGTGTGAAGGTAAAAGAATCATGCCTTTTTCTTTGATACCCAAAATTTTTCTAAAAAGCAACACCAAAATGTTACCAAAAAAATAATGAACAAAATGTATCGGTGGAGATGAATAAGGTCCTCCAGTAGCATGTAATGTGTTGCAGGAAATGATGTGCAGTTCAATGCTCCACAGTGACTCACCTCCAGGTAAGAGTGCTCTCTGTTTGGCCTCGTAGTGGGGAAGGACAGATCCAAAAAGTCCACCAGATAGTCATAGCCATCAGTAAGGGGCTCAAAGTTGTCATTTGTTTCAGTTATCTACATGGACAACATACCAGAAAAAAAAAGTCAACCATAGAACATGTTAAAGAAAATCAGGCTTCAGAGTTCAAGCTGCCAAAGTAAGAAGGAGGGAGAAGAGTGGAGAAGAAAAAGAAGCAGAGCATCTTTTAAAATGTTACTGACAGAAATGAATGCTCCTGTTGATCAATAATTTCTTCATCCAAACCATCAATCTGCCTCTTGGACCCCATCCCAACTAGGCTGCTTAAAGAAGTCTTGCCCTTAGTCAGTATTTCTCTACTAGATGTGATCAATCTGTCTTTATCAACAGGCTTTAAAGAAGCTGTAATTAAAGCTCTTTTGAAAAAGCTTTACCAGGACCCAGATGTGTTAGCCTATAGACATATCTAACCTTCCATTTATCTTCAGGGTCCTGGAGAAAGCAGTCACCAAACAGCTGTGTGACTATCTACATAGCAATAGTTTTTTTTAAAGATTTTCAGTCAGGATTTATAGCTCATCATAGCAGAGAGACATCCATCCATTATCGTAACCGCTTATTCCCTGATGGGGAAGTTTTCAGTGGCATTACTGAAGCCGCTCTGCTTGTGTACATGGACAGGCAATGAAATACCTTTTCTGACATGTTAGAGCCGTATGAACCAGTGCGGACTCTGAGAGCCTCAGGTTCTGTTCTCCTGATGGTGCCCAGAGGGAGAACTTAAACAAGGTGAGGCTCCATTTCAGTTCCATGCTCATAAAATCTGGAACAGTCTTCCTGGAGATGTGAGACGGTTATGTTTAACTGTGCATATGGAAATTAAATGTATTTTATCTGCACCCTTCACTTTCTATCTGTATATTTTCTAATTGTTGATTATTTTGCTTTTTTGTTTTTCTGCTCTTAAATCCTTTGTGAAGCAGTTTGAATTTTCTTGTACACAAAATGTGCTATACAAATAAACTTGCCTTGCCTTACCTTGCCTTACCCTGCCTCTTATCCATTGAATGCTGGGATAGGCTCCAGTCCCCCCCCCCCAACCCCATTTGGAAATGTGCGGTTCAGAAAATGAATGGATGGATAGATGTGAAATAACAGGGCGGCACGGTGGTGTGGTGGTTAGCACTGTCGCCTCCCAGCAAGAGGGTTCTGGGTTCGAATCCCGGGGGAACCAGGACCTTTCTGGGTGGAGTTTGCATGTTCTCCCTGTGTCTGCGTGGGTTCTCTCTGGGTTCTCCGGCTTCCTCCCACAGTCCAAAAACCTGCATGTTAGGTTGATTGGAGGTTGGGGAAATTGCCCTTAGGAGTGAATGTGAGTGTGAGTGGTTGTTTGTCCTGTGTGTAGCCCTGCGATGGACTGGTGGACTGTCCAGGGTGTACCCTGCCTCTCGCCTGTTGACCACTGGGATAGGCTCCAGTTCCCCCTGTGACCCCATCAGGGAATAAGCGGTATTGATAATGGATGGATGTGAAATAACAAAAGGACACAGGAACATACTCTCTAAGCATTCCTTTGACTAAGGTCATGCTATCCTAATGTCTGGTGGCATGGTAACTAAAGAATAAAGCACAAAACACAGGGGCTCACAATCATTTAAACCACAGCTACAAATATAGTAGCTAAATGGGGAAAAATTGGTATACTGCATAGTTTCTTTGGGAAAAATGTATACATATATACATATATACCCATTGATTGGAGTGTGCAAAACATATAGAACAACTTCAATAAAAATGCATGTTATCTAGACTGAAATGCTTTTATCTGATCATGTCTTACCAGCCAGGAAAGGAAGCGCAGCATGCAAAGAGGAAACCACAAACAACAACCCTACTTCTAGTCAAAATTTTAAGTTCAGGCCAAAATACAAGTTTCTTTGGACAATACCCTTTGGATATCATGACAATTACCAGCAAATGTATAACAGTAAATCTATGGTGGGACCCTACAGGAGCAATGGGTTAACAAATACCAAAACAAACGCCAATAAAATGAAAACAATGCTGTAAAGCAAAGTAGGCTAACAATTCTCCTAAAATGTCAAAAGATCAATAATGTCAAATACGAAATTAATAAATCAATAGGTTTCAAAAAGTTTCTAGTTGTTGAATCAGGAGATTAATTGTTTTTAGGTACATCTTTTCTTTTAGAATAACTGTTACCCCACCTGTCCTGGAGCTTAAAAAAAATTATTACAATGAGCTGATTAAACTGAATATTCCTGATATATTTGGTATAACAGCTCTATAAAAGAAATACTGATCCAGGTCAAACTCCTTCCACAGGTTTATTTGATAATGACTGTTGCAGCGGTTGCCAGAAAAGACAATGTAAAGTTAATGTTCTCACCTGTTTCTGTATCGATTCTAACTTTATATAGTCTTTATAACCACATTTTTATAAGGAATTGCAAAGTGAAAATTAACCGATGAGGAATGTTAAAGAGCCACAAACGCATGAAACCAAATCCCAGATTTTTTATAAGATAGAGCGAACAGTTTCTTTGATTGATTTTGAAAAAAGAGATGACCATGTCAAGTATAATTACCCGAGCCACAAGGTTGTAGTTTTTAAAGCCTGCCCAGGTGTAGTAAAACTGGATCCAGCTCTGATGTTTAAATATCTCACTGCTAATGGCGCTGTTCAGTTCGTCCACATACAACTCAAACTCCCAGGAGTCCTTGAAGACTTTTGCATTTGCAGGGGGATCAGTGATGGCTTCACTGCGATTGGTCAAGGTAAAAGAAGCAGTCAATAAAATATTAAACTTTGAGCGTTTAATCTTCTAACTTTGGCTTGTAAACTTAATTTATTACCATCAAGATTTTTGTGACCATCCATACCATTATTGACAATGACTGTGTGCGACCTGAGTTCATTTATCATTCACTAAGTTGTGACGGTCACTGTCTTTTAAACTATTTTGTTTAAACCCGTATATAGTGGTAGCACAATTCACAAATGATTTGAAGTAGAACATTTTTTAGCCTGTACACAATTTTGTTCTTCGGAGTCTTTAGTTTGAAATATTGTAATCGATAGGGGTACTGTCTCAACATTGTTTTCAAAAGGTTTATGTTAACATTGAAAGATTATTCTGTGAAATACCACCCTTACAATTCGACCACAACTTATAGGGATTCCAAAGTCATCCAAAACCCAGCTACAAGTACTGCTGAAGGGGTTTAGTTGTTGTTATTGAAATTTTTGACCATCATGAAAATCACTAAGAGACTTTTTAGCTTTTGTCCCACCTGCTATGTGGCTCTTTCAGAGCAAGGCCAAGATCCAGCACAGCTCCTGGCTTGGGTGTCCATGTTTTAATGTCCGGTGCAATCTTGTTGATAAGCGCGTTGAGGTCCTCTGCTTGGTTTTTAGCATTTGTTTCCTTAATGTACCTTTACAAAAACATTGTCACAAAAGACAAAAAGGGATGCTTTAAGGACATAAAAAGCTAAATGAAGATTATACTGTATCAAAATTTATGTGACAGTGACTGTTTTAGCTTCCCCCTGCTTTTTCCCTTTGCTTACCAAACCATTAGGTGTTTTTCACAAGATTTAAGATATAATTCATACAAAAGAAAATCCTTAATTATTTTTAATATTTTGTGTAAAACTGTAGGGAAAGTTAGATCTCTGCTGGCTGAAGTATTGCCACTGGTAATCCATTTATCCTTTACCACTAAATTAAGAATGAAATGTCAACCAAAGCTCAATTCTGAGCTAATAATGTAATAAGAAAGCAGTGAAAGGGTGCTAGTGTGAACAACAAATATTGCTTCCTTTTCACTTTCTGCAGAAAGCGGTTAAAAGTGAGACTTTTACAACTATTTATCCAAAAGTCAGTGCAGGTGCAGGCTGCAGACTGGAACAGAACCTGTCTGTAAAAACCCAACTTGTCTGATGGATGAGCCTCCACGAAATAGCCAGCAAATGGGCAGTAGATCCTTGGTTGCAATGATTTTACCAGCAGAGATTTGTAATTGAGCAACTTCCTCCTTTCAGTTTGAATAAATTCTGCCTTCCACGAATCTGTTAAAAAAAAAGCAAAACCCCATGTGTTATGTAAGCAGTGCCTTGAACAATTTTTTTGTGCAAGACAATTTTTTTTGTACAATTTCAGTACAATTTTTAGCTACCATTCCCACACCTGGTTCAATAAATGAACTAATTTCTCTTTGTTTACTCTTTTAATACATGTTCACCTTAGATTACTTAGAAAACTAAGCCATGCATCAGTGGCCACGTGTCTTTCATTGTTTAGTAAACATGTTCATATCACTCTGCCTCATCATGTGGGGGCTTTCCACTAGTGCCTAGTCAGACTGGCTTAGCTTGACTCTAATCATATGTTTGAGTATTTCCTAAAGTAGTTTAACACAGCAGTTACTCGGCACTTCAGTGTTTTTTCATTAAATACTTATTCAACCTTACACAAGTCATATTCTCAAATACTTTTTACTTTTACTTGAGCAATGTTATTCTTAAGTAACAATAGCCTTGAGTACAATTTGTGGCTACATTGGTTAAATAAACGAACTAACTACAAATTTTTCTACTTTTCCAAAAAACTTTCACCTTAAGAGGAAAACTATGTCATGTATCAGTGGCCATGAGGTTTTCATTTTTCAGTAAACACGAATCATGAAGAAATGTTAGAGCTTATAGTTAGGGCTGCTTAGTTGAGTCCACCCTTAGTTATGATGCTATAGGCCGAGACTGCCGGGGGATTTCCAATGATGCACCGAGCTCCCCTCTCCTTTCTCTCTCGCCCTCTCAGTGCAACCTCATTCCATTAACACATGTTACTAACTGGACTTTCCCGTAGTCGTGTGTTTTTTCGTCCCTTTCCTCTCTCCTCCTATCACTTCCTGCAGGTGTTCCTAGAGCTGTGGAAGCTGGATCTGTGATTGGGAGTCTCCTGCTGTCCCCGTGTTCCTACTCTTGCCACAATTACAACCACTGTTCATAGTCTTATTGCTATTATTACTGCTATTGTTATAACTACTGTCAATATCATAGCCATTTTTCGTCCAGTCTATGTGTTACTGTATAGGCCACTTCTCTCTGTCCTTCTCTCGCTCTCTCTCTTGCCCTCTCTCTCTCCCACCCCCCACCGGCCGAGGCAGATGGCCGCCCACCCTGAGCCATGGTTCTGCTCGAGGTTTCTGCCTGTTAAAAGGAAGTTTTTCCTTGCCTGTGTCGCCTAGTGCTTTCTCTTGGCGGGAATTGTTGGGATTCTGTGATTAACTTCAGAGTAGGGTCTGACCTGCTCTGTTTGGAAAGCGCTGTGAGACAACTGTTGTAATTTGGCGCTATATAAAAAAGAATTTAATGAAAATTGAATTGAATAGGAACAGCATTGGCCAGTCACTGCAGCTCTATCCTATCCTGAAGTAACTCCAAGGGCCAAACACTACTTTGACGTGAAGTCAGATCAATGGGTGCTGCTTGAAGGCTGGTCAAAGCGCTACAGCCTTTTGAATGTGCCGCCGTTTATATCAGCGGACAGAAGCATAAAACCGTATTACGTCTTCCATAGCTACTCAAAGGGCTGCATCGGTCCATACGGCAAACCTGTTTTGAGACCAGCCCAGGAAAAAAAAACCTATGGTGAGTGTGGGACAAGGGATCTGAGCTGGGAGAGACAATCTACTTCTTATTTCCTCAACTTCAGCTATCCACTGCTATCCAGGATTCAAAATTTATTTCAGTGTCAAGGTGTAGATATTATGTTTTAACTTAGCTATCCCGTGCTGTCTGTTTAGTTGTGAGCGTAGAAAATCTCACCACTGTACTTCCCCCCATAGAAGGTCATGGGGAATCCAGACGCTCCCCCAGCAAAGTCACTCATCATCAGGTCCACATTTTGTGGTAGTCTGCCCCCATTTGGCCTGGTGCAGTCAACAGTGTTCAGGATCATGTGACCTACATTTGAGGTGGATTTAAATATATACAATTATGCCATATTCATTTGCCACTTTCATTCAAGATATCTTAGAAATAATCCAAGAAAATCAACATTGATACCCTTGTAGTCAACAATGATGCAGGTGTCCATTTCAGGATGTACACCATCCATTAGAATCATGAATCTCAGGTGGTCATCAATCTGTGGTGAAATATAACATTAATATTTCATCGGAATAATATTTTTTACGTCAGTGTGTAATTATTGTGTTATTTTGTATTATCCGTATTGTACTTTGACTTTAATATGAGAAACATGAGAGGCTTACATTCTGCCACACACCAAAAGGAGTGACGTTTATATTCGTCAGCTTGATTTGGCTTTGCTCCAAATACCTGTTTCCACATAGAAGAGAAAATATAGCTTTATTATGATCAAAACTGAGTTTCTGTTTTTTCATTTATAGATGTAGTTTGTTAAGTGCAACCACATCAAATTCACTAACCAAAAGACTGGTCTGGACGTTGCACCAACATAAATAGGGACATCTGGTCTCCTCTCTGACAAGACTTTCAGAGTTGGGTAACTGGAGAAGAGGAAAGGACATTGAAAACTCATCAAATTATAATCTAGAAAACAATATTGCACAAGGCAGTTTAATAAAAACAAAATTTATAAAATGGGCACATCAACAATTTCAAGAACAATGAAAACATCATACATTCAAAACACTTTACAAACTTATGACTAATTAAAGATGGGAATGGAAAGACTTTAATATTATTGGTGGAGGTTTTGAAGTGATAATGTAATCGTTATTAGGTTTTGGATGATTGGATGGATTATTAGTTTTTATTATTATTGGTAGTAATTCTTCTGATATCTTAGTCAATGTAGCTATGAGGGATTTTGCTTTTGCTTTCATGAATTATTGTCATTTTAGTGCTTCTAAATGTGTTAAGATATGCACACTTTGGTTCAACTATGTACTTTTCAGATGAATGCAGATAAAATTAGCCTTAGAGAAGACATCAGAGTACAAAAACATGCAATGTCTAGCTCAATAATGACCACTATTATCTTTCTAATGCATCATTACTACTTCCTTATTTTGCCATTTCCTTGAAAAACCAATAGAGAATACTGATTAATCTTCCTTTTAGCACACACTAACTTGATTTTCAATAATAACAGTTTTACTTTTCAATTTCATATTTCACAAGGCAATAGAAGACCTATAATATGACAATAATATAATATAAATGTACATTTTGTAGTATACATCCAAACTTTCTGTCTAAATTCGGTGTTTTAGCTTTTCTTGCAAATAAAGTTAAGACATTGCGTCATTGTTGTTCACCTGAGGTGGTCAGAGTGCATGTGGCTGATGTAGATGAGATCTGCTGCACACAGTCTGTCCAGGCAATCGTCTGGAGGCTCGTGGAGAAGCCACCAGCCTCTGGCAAACGCAGGACCCATTAACCAAGGGTCGAACACGATCCGCTTCTGCCCAAGCTGAAGCTCCATGCAGGCATGGGTGATGTATGTTATCTGAAACAGAGTTTGGAAACCACCGCTTTACAAAAGTAATATATTCTCCTTTAAGGTTGTATTTTGTGATTGAAAACAGATCTGACTGCAACACAGTTTATACAAAAAACGTACAAAGGAAGAACAACAGGATTTCTCATGTGGATGTAAAATAATCACAATCAGTCATGACTGTGTCATCAAATATACAATTCTGTAAAGAAAACATTCCCAAACTATTTCCATTTAGAATCACTGGTCATCAGGACAAAAAAATATGCATTTAATGTGAAATCCTTAATCAGCCGTAGTAGCTTTTTCTGCATACATTTTAAGTTGTAAGTAGTGACCTACTAAAGTAGCAGTGGAGTGGGATTCAAACCGGCGACCCCCTGGATGCAGCGCTAAGTCGTACACATGAGACGTGGCTCAGTTTTAAACAAAGAAATACATGCAAATAAAAGTCTTTTCAGCAGAAGTCAAAGGAAAGCTGCAACTTCAAATATTTTACGGACAGTTTATGCCAGAACAATCTGGGACCAAACTAAAATGATAAAATTGCAAGTCTACAGGAAAACTCTGGCTCCACCAGAAAATATAGAATTGACCAAGTATGCTTGATCTTTAAATTGTGGGACCAATCAAAGCCCATAATATTCACATACTGAGGCCAGTCCAACTGGCGAAGACACCCACTTCAGAGAAAGTGGAACTGCTTTGAAGATCTGTTTCCATCCATCCGTTCCAAACCACAAATGTGTGCATTTTTAACATCAAATTTTAATTTTCAAAGTGCAGTAGGAAAATACACACCTTTACTTCTCCTTCCTCGAGCTCCAGTGGCTCTCTAGGGTCAGCCAGCCAAGGATCAAGAGGGTTCAGCTCCAACAGCTGAAGCCCACCATCATCCAACATCTCTATCTCTGTTTGGGTGACAAATATCCAAATTTATGATGTTGGTTATATAAATATATAGTATGTGAAAATATATAGGGAAATATATCGGACAGAGAAAACCTAGTGTCGAAGTATTATATTTTATTTTATGCTAGACAAGGCTTACTTACTAATAACACAACTAATAAATCTATAGAGATATCTATATACGGTAAAACCCTGTGTTAATCTGCAATTGAAACGAAAACTTGATATATACCAGAGGTTTTTACAGAAAAAATGTAACAAAGTAAAAGTATCTTTACTTTGCTTAAGACTACAAAATCCACTCAAGTAAAAGTAAAAATGACTCAATTTAAAATATACTTAAAAGGAAAAGTTACTTTAATTAATTTGATGTAAACAAATAAAGGACAAATCATTATTTAAATCAAATTGTTTTGAATGAACTATTAGTCCACATAACCTTTCAGGCATTATAAAGTATAAAGCCAAACTCCAACTCATACACCGCAATAAAGAAAATAAAATGAAGCCAAAGTATCCAAGACACTGAAAATGTTTAGCAATCCCTTATTAATAACTCACACCTTCTATAGCAAACATAGAAATACACTAATTAATTGGTACAGAGACACACAAGGACAAATAACCACATGCAAACTCCACACAGAAAGGTCCTGGTTACCCCCGGGGACTCTACCCTGAACCGTAGACATATAGGCATATATTACACGCCGCTTTGAAGGCTGGATCGTACGTCAACGTCGCCGCCATCTTGAATGTGGCAAAGTGGAGAATCGGGGTCAGCGATCAGACAGGGAACCGGGTGGGTGTAAATCTCAGGGTTTGTTTATTGGCCAACTTCTCAAAAGGCTGCCCTGTATAGTGGTTTGGTTTCTGATGCTGTACCCCCATCATCAGAAAGCTACACTTGCTCACCCTAAAAAACAAACGATGTGATCCACTAACTGAGGCTTCATTACGGTGCCAAAACTGCCAAACCGAACACCCTAAAGATGCCGAGTGCCAATATACGATAATAGCTGCACAAGAGTATTTTTTAATATACATTGACAATAAAAATATATGAATATATGCGGTCACAAGAAAAAACGATCATTTAAAATGAATTACTATGAATATCCATCCATCCATCCATCCATTATCAATACCGCTTATTCCCTGATGGGGTCGCAGGGGGAACTGTAGCCTATCCCAGTGGCCAACGGGCGAGAGGCAGGGTACACCCTGGACAGTCCACCAGTCCATCACAGGACACACAGGACAAACCACTCACACGCACATTCACTCCTAAGGGCAATTTCCCCAATCTCCAATCAACCTAACATGCAGGTTTTTGGACCCGGAGAGAACCACGCAGACACAGGGAGAACATGAAAACTCCACCCAGAAAGGTCCTGGTTCCCCCGGGATTCGAACCCAGAACCCTCTTGCTGGGAGGCGACAGTGCTAACCACCACACCACCGTGCCGCCCTACTATGAATATGATATAATTTAATATATTTAATATATTTAATAATTATGTATGACTGATTGCAAACATTTTAAATGTCAAAATCGCTGAAATTGCATATTTTCTGTTTATATATAAGGGTGAAACGCGCGGTGCGGCAGTTAAATGTAAATGTTTGTGCTCTTTATTCAGAAAACCCTCATGTAACATTTACTTTTTCAGGATCTGGTGATTATGGACACAGATTACATGTTAAATTTCAATATTTATATATGGCGTCATTACAGTAACAGTGTTGCATGTACGCATTAGTTGTTGAAAACACAAACGCTGGGTTTGACGCTTCCTTATGTCCTAAACATCAGGAGTACACATTTATAATCATCACTTTAAAAGTTACATAGGTTTTTTTGGTGCGTATTTCCTTCCCAGGTATATTAGTGTGTGTGTGAATGGGTGAATCAGATGCATTAACTTAAATCTCGTTGTAGAAAGGTGCTTTGCCCATAGGTCTATATGCCCAGAACTCTCTTATTGTGAGATGGTGCTAACCTTACATAACCACAACATACAATACAGTTGCACCATAAACAGTGAACTGCGTTACTAAGGACTACCGAATACTTTTTAAAAAATCAACTAAAAACTCCGCACAACCTGATTGCTCATAAGTCTTTAATGAGCTGCCCATGCAGGATTTTCTGCTATCTACAGGCTCCCGGAAACCGCAAACCAGTTAGGGTACATGTTTACTCCGTAACGGTTGGACTACAGATATAAACTTTGAGATTTACAATGATGACACCCAGTGAAAAAAAAAACTTACCAAGTTCGTCTTGCGCAAAGCTGTCAGGTGGGTTCACATATTTCATTGTTGAAACATTTAATTTCCAGTTGTGCTTTGTGCATTTGACATTCCTGAAAGACGAAGGCTGTTTGTTAGCTGCGTTTACTGTCTTCTGTTGCATATAAATTATGGGGAAATTGGCTTTACCTGCCATCCAAGTCCTCGATGTCTCTGATGAACAACCCCCCCTGATGTTTGCACTGATTCCTGCATGCTTTAAAGCCATTGTTGCTCTTGTATATGATGTAGCAGATGCCATTCTCTGGGTTTTTCTTGAAATTGATCCCCTCCTTGAGTGAGGCCACCGCCTCAGCTTCTAGCGACAGAACCACTTTTGCGCTCTGAGCAGCCATATTACCTAAATATAAAAGCATGTGTGTGTTTTAAAACAGGGTTATAATCCATGCGCACTGGCAAAGAAAAAAAACTTGTGTAAAGTATAGAGCTGGGCCACATTGTTCCATCTATTAAATGCATAGAAATGTCTTTGCCGGCACAAAGTTCCAAAGGTCATTTCAACATTTCAACAGTTTCTAAAACGTAATAAATAAATAAATAAATAAAAAACCCCAAACCAGATTGACAGCTCTGCATAGAGTGGCAAAGAAAGCCAGCCAATTAGTTTCCATGATTGCCTGTTGCCGGGGCAAACCCCCATAAATAATTTTCTTTCCTTCTCACTTATCAGCCTGCCGTGTCGGGCTGGGCCTTTACATATTAAATAGTGTTTAAAAAAAAAAAAAAAAAAAAAGTAGTGATATTGCACTATATTTTATGAGTCAAAATTCATTTCTTTTTACAGAGAAAAAAAACACACGCATAATGTCTCTTCAGTTAAATTATGGAAACAACGTTGGCTTTATTCCTCCACAAGAGGAATGTCCCTTATCAGAAAGCTTTTCCTGTAATTGTCTCTTTCGGAAGACGATAAAAATCGGAATGTCAGCGGAAAAAAGGTTCCACAAGGAGCCCATAACTTTCCTAAATTCACAATTCCAAGAATATTTTTGGTGGAACAAAAAAAAACATTTATGTATTTATTTATTTTTACTTATAGGGTTACAGGTGCTATACATTCTTTAGCTTGATGGAGAATATGATCATAAACGCCATGAAATGAATAGTTACATAAATTAGCTGTTATGTGACAACACTAATAATTTGGAACTGCGTGCTAGTTATTCAGTGTGATAAAAAAAAAAGTTTTAAGGCTACATCTTCTTGCTGACAAAAGTCCGTTGACGCAGCGCGATAATGATCAAAGACACATAAACTCATCATTGTTTTACTTACCATTAAATCAAACCGTCTCTCACGTCCGCAAGTTATGTCTGTCTGCCAGAGGTGTTGTATGCAGAAATTAAAATGTAGTTATATATTTTTTTATATTTCAAATGATCAAAAGGTGTAATCGGAGATGTGGGTAACTCAACCAGTCATTAACTCAAAAGACGAATACTAAACCAGATGCGTGCGCAGCCTGAGAATACCTTTTGAAGATTATGCCTTTCCTCATCACGTCAGGACTCGGATGGCATATTGTCACGAGGGAGTGTATCTTTTTTTTAATGGAAAAAAAAACAGTTTTAAAATATCCACACGTATTTAGTGCAAGGAGGAGTTGAGGAAAAGGGGCAGAGGCAACAAATTACAGCGGATATGAAGACTTCTGAGAATAGCCCTGAAGAGAAAAAAAGGCGTTTTCCTGTTACAGTTTGTCAGTTCTGTACTGCTTTATCAGAACTCAACCACTTCCCCTATTTGTTTAACTGAAATTGCCTGGAGTCGAAATATTCTCAGCTTTCAAAACTTACATTGACATCGCCATCCCTTTTTCACATGCACGTGAATGCCCCATTAGAGCTGTCCTTGGAGAACCACTCCATCCACCCCCTTCAGTTTTAGTTTTAGCTCAAGTCTCTCTGTTGAAGAGTGTTTGACCTGAGAGCATGTGTGTGTGTGTGTGTGTGTGTGTGTGTGGGAGGGGGGGGGGTCTCCTTTTTGGCGTACAGGAGACTGTGCGCTTTGGAGGCTTTGGCTATGTTACAAGACATGTGCACTGCACAAAGTAAACCTGTTGCAAGTGCATGAAACTGCTGAATGGGACAATTGTGGTTTAACATAGTATCCTGTATATACTATTGCCTATATTTGTATCAGCACACATAATGTAGACAAAGGGTGCATATTATTTGACATCTTTGGGCTTCATGTGTAGTGCTTTTCCTTGTGTGAAATAAATGTTATTCCAATACTGGGATCATGCTGTTAGTCATTTTCTTAGCTGAAATGTTGAATGGCGAGACAAGACAAAATACAATTAGTCTCTAAGTTGTTATTTCTTTCATGTAGTGAGCGTTGCAATTTAAATTAGTCTGTTGGTGAATGGATAATATAAATAGATTCTGCCTTGCTGGAAAAGCATCGTTATGAGCTTTTCTCAGCTCAGGAACTAGGACCAGTATGATATCTGGTTGTTCAATTGGTTTGCCTAAATAAAAGATTTAGATATGACTTATCAATTTATTCCTGCAAAAAGGTGTGATGTAGCAGGGGCAGGTAATGAAAAGTGCTTGGAACATGCTCTTGTTCTGATGACAGTTTGTTTCAGCCTCTATCCAATATTTTTGTATGCACTTGCTGTCCATATGTGCGATTACTTTCGGTTTTGAGCGTAGCAGTCATGTTGACCATGTGCTTTGTACAATTGATCCCTCAAGGCATCTAAGCAATGCTGTAAGAATTTAACAATGGCTATGTTGGAAATCCCACATCACTTATTACTCTGTTTAAAACATTTTTTTATGACAGAGTGACTGTAAATGAATGAAAAATGGGCTCAACAGCTAGTCAATAGAACACTTTTTCTTCGTAGTATTTTTCACCGGAATACCCGTGGAGAATCCAACACCTTTCAGCAAATGGTCAATTGAACTTACTCGGCATCATCATTTGACCTGGTTTACGTATGTGATTTCATTCCACATATAGCCCCAAAAGCTAGGAGAAGAACAATGTATTCCTGCCTCTTAAGAGAACCTGGCTGGTAACTTAACACTGCTGGCAAACATCATACTGTGAGCCAAAAAATATCCGATGTCTATTTCTGACATATTTACATAGATTTACATAGGTTTTGACTTTAGGAGAAGAACAATGTAATCCTGCATCTTAAGATAACCTGGCTGGTAACTTAACAATGCTGGCAAACATCATACTGAAAGCTAAAAGACATCCCATGTCTATTTCTGACATATTTACATGGAATTACATAAGTTTCTATTTCACTTTCCATGAGACACATTCCCCATAAAAGGGATGTAACACAGATAGCAGATATTCTTGGATGTGTCAAAAATGCATTTTTAACCAAAAGGAAGTTTCAACCAATTACCATAAAAAAATGTCAATTGAAAACCAAAAAGAGAAACAAAATGGAACACGAAACCAACTGCACTCAAACCACATGTAATGTTCGTTCTTCGGACCCAAAAACACCCGGAGGCAAACGGTCAGTTAACAGGTTTATTGACAGACAGGAATCTCCTGTAGGCGTGGTCAGGCAGGCGAGGTCGGCAACGTGTGGTCAGTCCAGCAATACTCCAAGGGATAATCCAAAACGTAGTCCAGAAACGAGCAGGGGTCGAGGCCAGGGAAGCAGTCCAGGGGGATCAGACGGGAGCGCAGAGTCGGGCAGGCAGGGTCGGGGACACGGGCAGGCAGGCAGGCACTGAGTCAGACCAGGCAGAACTACAGGCGAGGCAAGAGAAGCAGACGAGGGGCAGGCAGGCTCGGAAACGGGGTCAATCAGGTTGCAACGGGCAGTCAGGCAGGATACAATGCTGGAAGTACTCGTACAATTGGTTAGAGAAGTTCTGGCCCAGGTGCATGGGTGAGCAGTGGCGGGCCGTGCATTTCACACCTAGGCCTTCAGTAGTGCTCCGTCTGAATCAATTCACCCCTCAATAACTATTTTATGGTTATAGAAATCATCTTATTATGTAGAAATACAGTAGGGATGTCCCGATCCAGCTTTTTGTATTAAAGTTGATTTTTTTTTTCTACTTACTTAGTTGACAGACTCATGTTGAACAGGGATTTACTCTTATAACAACTAAAGTTTACACAGACCTGTGGGTTACAGATGCTAATGCTAATGCTCGGGTGGGATCGGACTTTTAAAAATAAATATATCTGGCATTTTCTCATGCCGGCCGATACGATCCAAATATCGGATCAGGACAAGCCTAAAATACAGTATAAAGATCAGGGCTGCACAAGTCTTCTACTCCTGCAGCTACAGCTGCGCCGCTACAGCTGCGCCCCCCCCCCCCCCCCCAAAAAAAACAAAAACAAAATAAAAATACATCAATAATATCCTCATAAACTCGCAATATTATTTAGGAAAAAAACATTTTACTCACTTAATTTTCTTGAAAAGTCCGTTTTGAAAATGGTCTTGACAGTAAATCCGCCACGAAATAATAAAATAGCTATTACACCAACACAACTATATTTCGGTTTGTTTGCTAGCTTTGCCCTGATTGGATATCTGACTATCCAATCAGCGGGTGTGGGTACGGTGGCATTTCCTGAGCCTTCTCGCAGGCCCTGGCATCACCAACCTAAAATCTGATTGGTTGAAGCAACAATGTACTCGACATGTATTTTCTGTGGGGGGGGGGCCTGCAGAACGGATTGTGAAGGCCTCCTGGCAGACATCTTTGACTTTGACCCTGCCTAGCGACAAAGGATGTCTGAAATGTGATTGGTTAAATGCTTTTATGTGAAAATACATGTCTGGAAGCAGCGCAACTAGGGGGAAAGCTATGAAAGGAAGCTGACAGACTATTTCGAGATATTTAATTTAGTTTTCATGGACAAAATATAATTAACATCAGTCTGTGATTCAGATATTTTCTTAGGCCTTCAGAGAAGGCCTTGAAGGCCCTGACGGCCCACCACTGTGGGTGAGTGGGGTTTAAGTACTGACCCGGACAGGTGCGACCAATGTCGCTGATTGAGGAAGTGAGTGAGCCGGTGGGCGGAGCCAGATCGTCACACCACAGGGCCCAAGGCAGTACAAACTACTCGAAACCAAAACCGGGTTATTCAAAACAGACCAAATTAAATTAGAGTGCCACAGCACAGTTTCAAAACAGTATCCTCCAAAGTTACAGACAGGTGTGAGAGCAGGGCCAACACATCGGTTTCTAAGAAGTGGATGATGAAGAACAAATTAGGCTTCAGATATTGGAGCATTCAAAAGTATTTGAAAGTTTAAACGAATCCCTCCAATATTTTACAGTGCATAAAATAAGTTACTGATTGAATTGATTAAACACAGGTTGAGAAATG